AACCGAAAGTTGTATATGTTCCTCCCAAGTTATCATGTATTACATTTGTGGACAGTTGTATATGTTCTGATCTGTACACGTATGCATAACAAACAAAGCCTGGGTGTTCATACCTGGGGTTGAATCCGTACAGAGTCGCCCACGGGAACTCCTATGTCGCTGTCGTGGTTCCGCGGCGGCGGCGTTGTCCAGTGGTTCCGTGGCGGCGGTGCTGTCGAGTGGTTCCGCGACGGCGGCGCTGTGGACTGTGCAGATCCAGATGGAGTCGGGCGGCGAGATCCAGATGGACTCAGGCGGAGATCCAGATGGACTCAGGCGGCGAGATCTGGTGCGGGGTATGAGGTTCTACGGCAGGCCGATCCTGCGTGGGCGGGGTTCTCGGTGGGTTGGTGTGGGGGTGATGGGACGGAAAAAACCGGTTGAAAAAAAACCAGACGAAAGTGGGGGGACTATTCAACCAACTCGTCCATTAGGAGTAGAGAAGTTATCATGTATTACATTTGTGGACAGTTGTATATGTTCTGATCTGTACAAGTATGCATAACAAACAAAGCCTGGGTGTTCATACCTGGGGTTGAATCCGTACAGAGTCGCCCACGGGAACTCCTATGTCGCTGTCGTGGTTTCGCGGCCGCGGCGTTGTCCAGTGGTTCCGTGGCGGCGGTGCTGTCGAGTGGTTCCGCGACGGCGGCGCTGTGGACTGTGCAGATCCAGATGGAGTCGGGCGGCGAGATCCAGATGGACTTAGGCGGAGATCCAGATGGACTCAGGCGGCGAGATCTGGTGCGGGGTATGAGGTTCTACGGCAGGCCGATCCTGTGTGGGCGGGGTTCTCGGTGGGTTGGTGTGGGGGTGATGGGACGGAAAAAACCGGTTGAAAAAAAACCAGAAGAAAGTGGGGGGACTATTCAACCAACTCGTTCATTAAGAGTAGAGATAGTTAAATAAAATCAACGGATATAAATAGATGATCTATAAAAAACTATAAAAGCTTCCGTCCTTCATTATTAGATAAAGATTAGAGCGTCTTTCAACTTTCGTTTTCTCTGCTTAAATGGCCTACATTCGATAATTAATCAGACCCACTGATCGCTCTCAGCCACGTGATCTGTGCTCGTGAATTTAATTTCCATCTGTACATCGGTTTTCTGCTGTATTTGTTAGCTCATCCTTTTAATTCCAGCAATCATAGGCTTCTAAAGAAAATAAAAATAAGTAAGCATGGGCTCCACAGTATAATATATCAGGACACAGTCCATAGATAATGAATAAAACTCTCTTACTGTGTACAGAGTGATGCTTTTTCATAGACACGCCTGCAAAGTGATGTTTAGTAAGGCATAACATGGAATAAAGCTGACAAGTACCTTTATTATTTGAAATTATTTAATAACTTTACATAATTATATGCAAAAAATAGGATTTTTTTACATCTTTACATTCTCTATAATCTACCTAGAAAGGGAGAGTCCTTGTTGCTCCAGAAA